CCTAAAAAAACCCAACAACAAAAACCAAAAATAAAAAAGCAACGACAACAAAACAACAACAACAATAAAACAACCCAGCCAAACATAATTATGTAGACAGTAAAAATGGGTCACATTATACCGACCAAAGTCTGCCGCCAAAGAACTCTCGGTAACGGATTTGATCAAGTAGAGGGAAGTTTGAGGCTGGAATCTGAGTGGGATCAGAATTACTTTCCGTTTACGAACATTTCAGTTGGTTGTTTGAGTAAAGAAAAGCATCGACACTATAATGATCATTTAGCGCAAGGAAAAGTAAGACAGATAGAAAAAGCAACAAAGGAAAGTAGAAAAGTAGGACGTACTCCCTGTTGTATTTTGACGAGGAACCAGGTGTTCAGCCTTCGCAGAAGACCCTACATTGGGGCATGGATGATTCTAATTTCAACGGCGTTAACAAACAAATAAACAAGCAACAACAACAACAGCAACAAAACTAACAACAACAACAACCACAACAAAACAAACAACTACAACAACTACAACAACAACACTGATAACAGGAAATAAACGAAGGGAAGAAGAAGAGCGCAGAGGGGAACGAAGACGCGTGCAATGATAGATCCTTTCGAAACTTTCCAGACTTCAGTTACGGATTTTGGTAACCACTTTACTCACGAACCCATACAAGGATTTAAGCAAATCTAATCAGGGAACTGGCGGCTTTCTTCAACAAAATGATTCCTTACATCACTTCTCTCTCTCTCTCTCTCTCTCTCTCTCTCTCTCCACTCCTCATTCCAGTATATGCATTCTCTTAAGGCCGCCTATTCCGTCTGTTAGGAAATAAAAATGAACGACGACACTAACAAAGAAAACAAAACTTATTATGCCATGTTACTCAAAAATCCAGAGGCATTCAAAACCATGATGAAAAAAAAACACAAACCCACCTTAAATATTACCCATTAGAAAAGAAAAGTTTCCTGTCATGATTTGTAAGATGATCGTTGTATAATTGACCTTAAGAGTTTGCTGCACATTTTAAAGGGACAGCAAAATAGAAGGAGTTGTCTAAAAAGTGGTAGTAATACTTACAGAAGCCTCAGTCTGGGAGTCTCAGTAAAGGTAACGTTGTTGATGCACGTTATCTTGTTACCTCGTAACATCCTAGGGGAGAAGAACAACATTAAATTGAACTTGGAAATTATGATATGAAAAGGCAGTATCAACCAACCAACTAATCAACCAATCAAACAACCAAATAACCAACCAACCAATCAATCAACCTGGAAATCAATAAGCACAGTGATGACATAAGAATATGACAAACACGCAAAACAATCGTTCAACTGATAGTACAACTCGTCAGCTGGCTGGCCAAAGGCTAGCCTACGAATTAGCTCACAAACCAACACGAACGGAAGGACCAACCAATTACACAGTTAAGTGAGGAATAAAACAGGTATTTGGTCTAACAGTCTGTCCCCTGTTAACTACCAACTACAATCACCATCAATTCGATTGACTTTTTTAAAACCAAGGATTCAGCCGACCAGGGAAGTGACGATCATCCAGATTTGTCCCCAAAACAAAGAATACACGAGCAAAAAACAAACTAACATACACAATTGTTATATCAATATAAAGAAAAGCATAACAAATAATTATAAACAATAAACGACAGAAAAAGAAGAAACAAACTTACACTGTCTTGACATTGAGTAATCCTTGGAAAGCTTTACCAGAGAGCTGAGACAGCTCATTATTGGACAACTGCCTGCAGGAGATAAACGATCAATTGGTTAATCGTGAATCATAGGTGAAGAAAGGAGAGAAAAAACTCAGTGGTGAATTATATTGGATCAAGGATAAAAAAAAAAAAAGCCGTGCACAGCATTTGAATGCTTGAAAGCTAAGCAATTTCGAGATCTGAGAGGTTTTATTGCTTAACATGACAGGAACCACTATATGACTTATCAAATAGTCAAAAGTTCAACGTAGAACGAAAGGAAAATGCACGTATCGTAATTTTATAAAAAATGTTGCATTTTTAAGATTTCCGATTTCGTTTGAATTTATCGCTTAATGGCACATGCACACACCATTCATTTTGAAACAGGATATATGATATTATGAGAAGGCCTACATAGACAGAGATGTCCCAAATACAAAAGAAAGGTTGTCACATTTAAAAGACACATACAACCTTGGGGGGGGGGGGATTCTAGTGACTGTGCCGGTTGATGGGATAGCCAAGTATTTATATTGCATTGCTTTTATTGCATTTAATGCCTTTAATGCAGAAGCAGTAGTAAGAGAACCAGAAAACAGCGTGAAAAACTTACAGATCAGTCAATTTGTCAGCAGCTTCGAAGGCGCCATCTTCGATTTCATGAATTTCGTTTTCGCTCAGATCTCTGTGGAACAAGAAGAAAATTTAATTAGACTGTAAAACCACGCCATATTGGTTTGTTGGTTGGCTACAAGAAAGAATAACTATCAGTTTTTCTTTCATGTAACAGGTGTCTCTGTATCTTTGTAACGTGAATGAATGTCTCCTTTGCTGACATGCCTGACCAATATTAATGTGTTTGTTATAAATAATACGACCCCCTTCCCTTGTCGAACGGAGCGTAAGAAGAAAACATTATTGAGGGAAAAACAAGCAGGCAGAATGGGGAGAAAAAAAGAGAAGTAGGGATGCCAAAGCTCATAGATAGATACATAGATAGATAGAATAGGTAGATAGATAGATAGATAGATAGATAGATAGATAGATAGATAGATAGATAGATAGAGAGATGGCCAGAAAAAGACAGAGAGAAGCATCCTTCCTATCCGGCCCCACCTCCACATATCATTTTTTTGCCCCATTACAGACTAAGCAGAAACAGAGAAGATGAAAAAAAGAACAGGCCGTTGAAATAAAACAAAATAAGACATTCCTCCAAACTGTTTCTGAACTTAAGCCACATGGCCGAAGGACAGTAACTAATCTTCATCTGTCCAAAGGAAGAGCCATAAAAGTGGAGATAGCTCAAATACTGTCGAGAATGATTCAAGCAGTTGGGTATGCAAGATCGGGTCAGGTTAGGAAATCGGAGGGTTCAGAGTACAGTAAGACTATTTTCTCAGATTTACTAAAGAATAAACATGAACCTCTACAATTGTTCCAGAATGATTGTACGTAAATGACTGTTCATTTGATTTAAATTGGAAGTCATGTTTTCAGTTGAACCCATCTAACATTTTTTTTTGGGAGAAAATAAACAGCGATGTTAGTTTAGGCAATTATGTTATATTACTACTGTCACAACTGGGAAAAAATGCTAGAATTAATTCAATGTATGAAATGTTGTCTGAAATCAAACCTATCGGCCTTTTTCTCCCCTCCCCTCTCATTTTCCCTTTCCTTTCCCTCCTCTCTTCCCCGGCTAGATCTAGTAAAAAAACAAAACAAAACAACAACGAAAACCCCAAAACAAACCAAAAAAAAAACCCAAAAAAGAAAGTGAACTGTTCGTCTCGGGGAAAACAATCGTGAAGGCTCATTTTTCTTAAAAACTCAGGAAAATACAACCAGACTGAAAGTAACCATTGTGCCCGTTCGAAAAAATCAGAAGAGTATACACATGCCCTTAAGGCCACTCGCTAGGAGGGTCCACAGTGTCATTGCGAGACGTTGGCATCAGCTTGTCATGCAGACTAACCTGGTGTAAATCATCGCGCCCCGGGACCCTGGCTTTACAGCCACACACCTTGTCCGAGTGGCCATTTCATAAATAAAACAAGCTCGTAAAACAGCCACAGACTACACGCCAGACAAATTACAGATTAATTCGTGCCTGTGTGGCGGGCTAATTTATCCTGAAGGTTGGCATACAGAACTGGGCATTTTTAAAATCATTAATTTACTTTATTTATCCAATTTGTTTTATTGTGTGTGTTCGTGTGTTTGTGTGTGTATGTATGTGTATGTGTTTGTATGTGTGTGTGTTTGTGTGTGTATAAGATATATATAGACATTATTATATAATA